TGTTTTAACTGTTGTATTTGTAACTGCAAAAAATTTGTTTATAAAAGGGGATAGATAAATTTTTTTCAGTTACAAATACAACAGTTAAAACAGTTAAAGCACATATTAATAGTCAAGAAATAATAAAAATAATACACAAATTGTCTATAGAAAATTCACATGTGATACAGCTATTTCATCGTTTAATAAAATAAGTATGTATTGTTATAAAATTAAAAAAATAGTATTTAATATAGGAGATATATTTTAATTTTATACATGCGCAAAATAAAATCGATTCTATATAATTACGTATTATATAATTACGATTAAATAAAATATTCTTTACAACATAAACCTATTATCCTATTGTTCTATTGTTCTATCTATTTATTACAAGAAATAAATTAGAAGCCGAATAGAGATTTGAGATCGTTCAGCGCAAGCTTTGTAGATGCGTTCCTCTTATCGCCACTCAATTCATTCCTCGTTATCTCAAGTTTTCGTTCTTGCAACGCTTTAATACGCTCTTCTATTCTATTAACACAAATCTGAAATGGAAACGTAATGATATAATATTCAAAAAATAAACTTTACAAAGAACATATGCGCGTAGAAATCAACAAGCATGATATACTAACTTGTAAATATTCTTTGTTTGATCAAAGCAGTAAATCTGATCTTGTGCTTGTGTCTCCAACTGCGGATTCCAATGAATGTCGAACGAATAACAACAAATGATTGCCGTCTACCAAATTTAATCCCACTCCGCCAGCTGCAAATGACAACGATAGAATTGTAGGACCGGAATTTTGGATATTAAAAGATTTCTTTATATTCTAAAAGAAAAATAAGTTTTAATCAGGAGACAATTTTTTTCTTGAACCTAATAAAATATAAAAATATACGTATTATTGATATCCATAAAATACATACTTGTCAATCTTTATTTCTTTAACTATGTCAAGTAGCACCTTCATCTAAATTATTATACATATATTGCATTCATATCATAATGTAAAACCTTCCAAATTCCAAATTATTATCAGGAGACACAGTAGTGTCTTGGTGTTTTATCACTTACCTTAGAACTAACAACATCTTCATGACCGTTGCCAATGACCTGCCATGACCTGCAATATCTCCTACATTAAACACTATTTTTTTTCATTTTAACAATACATACTTATTTTATTAAATGATGAAATTAAATGATGGATAGCTGTATCACATGTAAATTTTCTATAGACAATTTGTGTATTATTTTTATTATTTCTTGACTATTTATATGTGCTTTAACTGTTGTATTTATTATATAAAAAATTTCTTAACTATTTATATGTGCTTTAACTGTTGTATTATTATATAAAAAATTAATTTTATAAAAGGGGATACAATTAAATTAAAATCAATCAAAAATTGGTTTAATTTATTATTTATTGTATTTCTTTAATTAATATAAATATATTTAATAAAAATAAAAATATTTATTTATTCCACCGCGACCTCCACCGCGACTACCACCGCGACTACCACCGCGACCACCACCGCGTCCACTACCGCGTCCTCGGCTTTGGCGTCCGTGGCTGCGGCTCTTCTGCCATCTTTTTGCTGAAACAAATAAAATGTTTCATAGTGAGATCAATATATGAAATTTACACGCGATCAACGTCATTATCATGCGAGCGAAATATAACGTTAAATTGTTTTTTATTTTATTTATTTATTACTTACGTCGTTCTATTTGAGATAATGGCGGTCCCGGCGGCTGCGATATTGGCGGTCCCGGCAGTTGCGACGCTGACGGCCCCGGCGGTTGCGACGCTGACGGCCCCGGCGGCTGCGACGCTGACGGCCTTGGTAACCCCGGTTGTTGAGGTAACCCTGAGGGCCGAGTTATGTCTGCGAGTTGTCGCCGCAGACTTTCTACCTCGGCCCTCAGAGCCGCTGTTTCCTCATTATTTTCTCCGTCTTTCATTATACTGAAAAGAAAATAATTTTAACATATTTATTATATTAAAATATGTAATTTATATATCTACTTACACATCCTTTTCGGCGTCCATGTTGGTACTTGTCTTTTAAATGACAGACTATTTCATCACCATTTGCCGCGCGACAAGATGTAATAGACCATAGATTATGTTTATGTGGATGCAATGTGGTAGTAGCCAATAACCTTGTGGCTTCGACATATCAGTCAACGTGATAAACGTCGCACGTGACGCGTAATATCCAATGAGCGTAGTTTTTCGAATAAATTGCGTTCACGCGGCTAATCA